GCGATGCGGAGCACTACCTCATCGCATTCCTACCCGCTGTACTTGCCGGCGCAGGCAGCGTATTCGTCTACGGCCTCACGGTAAATTACAAGTGGAACTTTATCTGGATCTTTGTTTCCTATGTCTTGAACGCTTTTAGCGCCGCGGCGTACGGTATCGCCTCCACACTCTGGGTAACCGAGGCTTTCCCCCGCTGGGCCGCTCCGGCGATGATCATTGTCGGAGGAGGTGGATACATGTTGAGCTTCGCAACTTCTTATGCTGTCACCCCGTGGCTCAAGTCACAGGGTTACCTCGGCGCCAGTTTCGAGCTGGGCGCGATCTTACTTGTGGTGGGTGGCATCGCTGTGCCGCTCGCGTTCTGGGGAAAGAGCTTGCGGCAGTATATCCATGGAAGATGGGGTGTATCGGAGGCCGGCGCGCTGCGTCCACAGTAGAGGTGCGTGCGTCGACGAGCGAAGAACATCTACTTTGTTTGGACGGAGGTGTGTGTCACTGGGTGCTAGGCTGGGATGCAGCAGCGCTGCGAGCCTGGATCCGTAGTCCTCAGAGCTCATCAACTGAGCTGAACCAACCGTCAATGATAATCATAGTCTCTAAACATTATGTCCCTTATTTTGATGCGATATGGTGCGGGGTCTCTACAAAGTGAGACGCCGGCAAGTTTCTATCTTCCTCCTAGCTCCTTATCAAGCGTTGTATGATGGTCAAAGGTGGACAGCAAACCGATCGGGGTCCACTCGCCCCCAACAAGATTCCTCGCCATGTTCAAATATGCATCCGCTCGTACGCTTGAAACTCGACGAGACGACGATGGTTTGCTCTTCGAAGTGCCGGCGATGGAAAACTCTTGGCTTTTCCGGCCCCCTCCGTCTGAACAGCCCCGTCCCGACCGGATGGGCGGTTGCGACGTCACGGACCCAGCGGTCGCATTATTCACGGTCCTTTCGGGTTCTTGAACGGCTGTCTCGGGTTTGGCTGCTTGATCTGTTTGCGAGAAATGCAACGTTGGCATGTCAATGTCACCCTCAGAGGGTTGACTGGTGTCAATGTTTTGAGACACCCGTTGCTCGAGCGACCCCGCATTCCGGCTGGCGAACCTTTCCATTTCGTGGTCATGTGCGAAGCTATCACCAGAGCAAAAGTTGCCGAATAGAGAATGGATGGTGATGTTATCCCTGACCCAGTCTGTGGGATTGACGGTGCAAGGCCAGACATCTTTCGGTCGGAATATTCGGACAAGGTCGCAGAGCTCTTGTAAGGATGAGTGCCGGGAGTAAGGAAAAGTGATAGTTTTCGGCAAGGGTGGCTCGGAATCGGTTCCCGTGCTGAGGAAACTAGAGCTGGGTGGTTGTCTCTTTTGCCCAACCGACCGGAAGGCATCGAGGATTGCTGCTTCGTTCTTCTCTCCAAAAGATGAGATATCGATGTCGAGAGACATGTTCCGCCCGGTGTTTACCCCAGTTTCGAGGAGCTCCCGGAGCAGCGACCTTGATTCCTGAGGAAGATCGCCCTTTTCCTTGAGCAGGGCCAGCACGGCTTCGACGTCGGCGGACGACAGCGTGTCCAGCTCCGCGTCCCGCTCCAGGTCGTCTCCACCCCCGCCGACACCGACCTCGGCAATCTCGGCTCCGTTGGAAAGATGCGCGACAAGGGGTTGGATGGAAACGACTTTTGATCCTCGAACAACAGAGCAAAAGTTGCCTCTCTCACAACTGTGAAGCCGAACGTGCTCGTCCCGTGTGAGACAGCCTGGATGGGGTGTATTGCCGCATATGTAACCAGCCAACGCCGGCGCCTCAGGGCACAGATGTATGGATGAGCTGAAGCGATCGTTTGAGGCTTTGCCAGTCAACGAAGAGAAGACGCGCATCTTGTAGTCATCCACATGGATCCTGGATCTCAGGGCCTTGGACAAGGCAATCCAGACTTGCTCGTACCCGTAGGTCCATGCTTGGATGTGGAAGATGGTGTCGTCGGGATACAAGGCCACCTTGCGCAGCAGCTCCGCAATGCCATTGGCCTTTGTTTGAAGCGGCACGTTCTGGATGAAAGAAGTGTCGAGGTAGATCTTGTCTAGCGTCTTGATGCCACAGGTGTACTCAACGACTGCTGGGTTTCTGGCGACGGCGTTGACGAACCACGGTTCGCTTCGGATGTCACCCGTATAGAGAACGGCGTGATGGGCGTCCTCGATCAGGAACATTACAGAACCGGGGCAGTGGTTCGCATCGAGCAAAGTGACCTGAATGCATCTTCCGGGAGCAAGCTCGAGGGTGGTTGGCGTATCCAGGGGCAGCGGTTTGAGGAGATTCTTGAGATGCTTGTACGTCTGCACGCGAGCCTCCAGAATACCCTTGGCACAGTTGATGCGACAGGGATAACGTTCGAGACGGAGGAGCATCTCCCGCGTGGCTGCGGAGCAGTAGACAAACGGAGAGCGGAGGCTTTCCAACCCTGCGAGGTGGTCGCTGTGGATATGGCTCAGGAAGCACGCCAGTGGCGGATGATGGCCGGCCTGTTTCCGGAAGAAGTCAACTGCAACGCAATTAGCAACGATGTTTCGAGGGAACAGGCGCGCCGGGTTTAGAGGCAGCGGGTGAACGCGAAGCTATCACGCGGGCCCCAGGGTCACGGTGATGCTACTTTTTCGTCAGCAAGGACTTACTCCGAATGTCAGGAAACTCTGCGACAAGACCATTGAAGGTGGACATCGTGAGGAGCTGTCATTGTTCTGATGCGAGACCAAGTCGGGGGAACCAAAATATCTGGTTGCCGACGTTGAAGTTGAGAAACGACGTCGCGTGAGTGAGAGGCCGCGTGAAGGAAGGAGCGGCACCAAACGAGAAAGGAGAAGGCGCCTCCGAGACAAATCTGTCGCCTGCCAGATGGAGCCGGCTGGCAGCAAGCGGCACGGTAAAAGTCCGGATAAATGTAGTGATTATATAATGCCATCCCGGTGCTGCAGGATCCACACCTCCGATAGACCCGCCTTTACGGCTCCGACGCCGGACCCTGCCGGCCGAAGTATGCTCTCCTGCAGCATTTACGAAGCAACAGCGCCAGAAATCACAGGGTAAATGAAAAGCATTGAATGATAGAAGTTTATTATATTGTAGGAGATAGTCCGCGACTTGCTAGGGTGTCCATCTGTCAATTAGTCATCACATGAGCATCAGTCTTCTCTTCTCGCTCTGTCTCACTTCTGTTCGTCCCATGTGCCCGGAGAGCTGGCCGGTAAATTTCCCGACTCGAGCATGGAAACTAGATGATGCTTTTAGTGAGGTGACTTTGAGTGGCTCCAGACGAGCACGGGGACATCACCCACCGATCCAACCATCACCAACTGTCCATGTCCTTGAACCTTGACGGGAAGTCCACGTCTTCCCGAAACTCTGTTCTAGCCGCATGCTAATCGATCACAACACTGTGAACCTTCTCAACTTTGTTCTCGATAGGGATGCATTCAGCATTCTCCAGGCCAAAAGACGGGAAAGGGGCCTTTTGCTACTTCTCGGACTGTAGAAACGAACCGAGAGACAGGAGGGTCAACGGGGTTCCCCGCTTGTTGATGTGCACCAACCAGATTAAATCATTAGACGAACTGTCAATCTTCCTGCCTCCTCATTGTGGATTCCGTATGCACGACATGGCTCAAGGGTGCACAGCTCATGGATGGTGAATCTCCTTGGGCTGCTCAATCAGGCACCGCCGCATTTGCCATCAAACTAGTCAGTTCGGACTTGTTTCGACCAGTCCCGTCAGATTCTTCGTCTCAATATGAGTGCCCAGAGACAGAAGCCTGCAGAGCTGTTGCTGTGTTCAATAACGGCTCTCGTAGTTTTCCATGGCGCTCCCCTCATGCAGATATGACGTTCATAGCTCAAATCTAGATTTTGAATAGCTAGAGGCATTTCAAGCAAGAATATGTTGCGCAACTTAAGATTCCTGGCGTCCGTGGCTTCAGCCGAAGTAGGGGAGGGCTATACCCACAAGGATGCCTACAAGGACTAGCAACCCACGCGCGGCTACTTACTCAGGAATGCCACTGGACATGTCCCTAAACGCTGTATTTCTCGAACTGCCAAGCTCGATCTATTCCCCGCGGTGACTAAAGCCTCGATTGTGAAGGTGCCATTAAATTCGACAGAATTGACACTGGATGCCTACAATAACGTCCAGATGTGTTTATCAGCCCAGGATAGATCAACAGGGGAGACCTCAAAAAAGTAAAATAGAGCTCATGATCCACAGAAACGTCTAAGCATCACGCTCGTGCGTGCGTCTTTGGTTCTTGGATCATCTCCACTCGCTCCGTCTTCAACCCCCTGAAAACGACCATCTTCCCACAAGTAGTGGCGTGAGCACCATAGGGCCGGGGATCACGAGCCAACTGTTCCTCAGAAAGGAAGGCCATTTTGAATGGAGCGAATCAACGGCCTTCAGAGGAGCCTGGACCAATATGCAAGGATCAAATGCATGGGCTTTGATCGTCTATGAGGGTCAAGAACCACACTGCTGTGGAGGTAGCCGGAGGAATTACGAGACCACAAAAGTTGGTAAGCATTGTCAAGCGTTGGAAGGCTTACCGTGGGTGTTCAAATTCAACAATGAACAGCTTTACTAGCAGCTACAGCGACGCGGAAAATTTTGTATGACTCGCTGCTCTGTTCCTCCAAACAGGCGAAGGTTGCCTAGACGTCAGCAGGGCAGGCGATTTGCAACCATAGAAGCCGTTTCCCGGTTCAGCTCCCTGACACGTAGTAATGCGACAGAGTACCCTTGAAAATGTCCGAGCGGTAGATGTCTTGAAAACTGCGGCTTCCTTGGCTTCAAAAAATGCTGCCCTTAAAATTTGCTATCCCGCCTTCCTTATTTAAATTCCTGGGGTGGAACGCTTGTCAGAACTGCTCGACTTGCGCGTCCTTTCGTTTCCAAAGGGCATGGTGGTGACCGATTTACTTGTGTTTGCACGCCAAGCTATTGGCGAAGCTTTAGCCATGGAACTCAACCAAGCTCAGTGCAGAGCTCTTGGAATCAACGCCGGTTTTATTATCTTCATAATCATCATTATGGGAATGCAAATGTGGGCAAGGCTTGTCATCACGAAGGCTATTGGCCTCGGCGACAGTAAGTACATTATTGAAAGAGACTACTTCATAGAGACGATAATACTAATTCAGAGGCGCCAGTCATGATGGCTTTTGGAACAGTAAGACGCCATAAGAGGAATTCGTTTTTCTCTCCGGTTAATGAAAAATTGTGAGCACTGACTTGTTCAGCTGACGACAATTGCTTTGTCTATCACCGTAATGATTTCGGTCGTTCGCGGTATTGGGAAGATCAGTGAGTTTTCTATCTCCAACCCCGCTCATCACCATTTCTGAGAGAAACCAGGGATAGACATTCCAGCAGAGGCTTGGGAGCCCATGCTTCTAGTGAGTGTCGTGATTGTCAACATATTTCTGCATCGAGCTCGTGACGTTCAAACAGTACTGACAGCAATGCGGTGTAGTCATTTTGGGTCTCTCGCTTACTGTATGCAATCGCCATGGTGCTCGTCAAGGTCGCCCTGCTTCTGTTCTACTTGCGCCTTGATGATCGACTACTCATGAGATGGGCGGTCCATAGCCTCACAGTGGTTGTCATTGGCATGGGCGTGGGGCACTTTGTCATGTCTGTTGTCGAGTGCAGTCCACCGGAGGTCTTTTGGACATCGAGAGGAGACCGCATGATCTATATGCAACAATGCATGGCGCAATCCAAACAACAAGCATTTTGGGATGCTGCCGGTATTATCGTCATTATCACGGATATATGTCTTTGGATCTGCCCGATCCCTATGATTTGGAATCTCCAGCTTCCAAAGGTAAGTCACCTTCCCTCATTGCTAAGATATAAGCGTTCACATGAAATCAGCGACAATAGTGGGCAGTCTCGGCCGTGTTTGCCCTGGGTATCATATCAGTTGTTGGTGAGTGTTGAGTAAGAACGCACCGACTTCCTTCCGCTCACCATAATCTCCCAGCGGGATGCGTTCGGTTCTAATATGTGCGACAACTAGCAAACGAGCCGGAGCTCTATCAACAATTGGCCTACTCCCTCGTCTGGTACGCACTGGAGCTTTATGCAACCATCTTCTGCGGCTGCTCCTCGGCTCTGAAAGTGTTTTTCAAGAGGTACTTTCCGGCTCTGTTGGGGTCTTCCTCATCCAGAACAGGGTATCCTCTTGACAGCTGCGGAAACAATGGCACCAAAACGAGGACATCTCATCCTTTGACCAACCTATCTGACAGACGTCCCGGAAACCATACAGTAATCTCTTCAGGGGGTCGAGGAGGGGGAGTAACGGCGAATACAAGAGATTCATCGAAGAACGATAGCGAAGAAGCCATCATTTTGGGGGAACATGGAATCCAAAAACAGACGGAAATTCAAGTTAGACAAGAGACGGCGAGAATGTCAAGTGATTCAGAAGGCAGGCGCCCAAGGAGCGGCTCACATGACAGGCCAAAAGCTCGATCATTCGTGGCTTGATTGAGGGGGAAGTTACGAATGGAAAAGGGGGAAGAAATGCAGTGCTTGACAATAGAAGTACTGTGAAATCTGATGAATGATGCTAGGACGAGCGTTTTGGGGTATCCCTCAACCATAATGCAAAAGACGCTATCTACGGTTGAGATTGATTTGATCGGCTTCTCATACAACGTATGACCGTCCTGAAGACGCCTAAGTTTTGTTACATCCATATCTTAACGGTGATGATCCTCCAAAGTTGTTTGGCCCGCTGCTTCCCGCTGCCGTTTCTCTTCCACCGTCAAGTCACTACTAGCTGACCCAATTCTGACAGTGGAAAAAAGACTGGCTGCGGCACTTGCTGCTCCTACTCCAACCCAAAACGCCGATTTATAACTGGACCTGAGCCCGGAGTCGCTTGTTTGATGGACAGCTATGTCCGCCATGCCCAACCAGAAGCTGATTCCAAGAAACAGTAGACTGTTGATGAGAGCACCAGCAAACCCTTGATGGTGTTGAGGTAGAGACGTTGTTATATATACATTGCTGACGGTGAAAGCAATGTCGATGCCAATTGTTGCACAGACCATTGACGGAAAGACGTATGCCCAGTAGCTTGGATCTTCAGGCATAATGGCAAAAAGTAGAACACACACAATACTTCCACAACCTGAAATGATCAGAAGAAGCCTTCCGGGGAGTAAGTGGAGAGTGAAACCTCCCAGGAGCCCGATTGTTACCCCTCCAGCAGCCAGGGGCACGTACCAGGCAGCCGTAAGCAGTGGCGATGCATGGAGAACCAACTCAATGTAGAAACTGCTATAAAAGAGAAAAAGCCCAAAAACACCATATGTCAACCATAAGGCCAACATCAGAGTCTTGATGTACTTTGTCGAGAAAAGATCAGGCGGGAGAAGCGGACTGGATGCGACGCATTTCTCGATGTAAAAGCCGATTGCCAGCAGGAGAACGCCAACGACAAGGGTGACCAGAATCTGAGGGCTTTTCCAACCCTCTGGAGCCTGAGAACTGTCTGTAAGGGCGTAGATAAGAAGCGCAAGACCTGGTACGATTGTAACAGTACCTAGCCAATCCATCTGCACTTCATGCTTGTTGCCATAATCTTTCGGAATGGAAAAGAAAGAAATAGCAATCAGCACACCCAATATCATGGAGCTGACCCAGAAGTACCATCTCCATGACAAGTATTGCCCGGTCAGACCACCGATTAATATGCCGAAAAAGAAGCCGATAGGAGCGAAGGAACCGTAAAGTGCGAACACGAGATTCTTCCGAGGTCCGGGTCAATAGGTCTTGCCGAGCATCATCATGCCGGCCGGGAGGACTGCAGAGATCCCCAAGCCTGCCATGGCGCGACAGGCTATGAGCATGACGTAGTTATGGCTGAAGCCGGACAACAGGGTCCAAAGGAAGAACCATCCAAGACCAATCTTGAACGTAATAGAACCTCCGAACTTTTCGCTTACTCGGCCGAATGGGAGAAGGCAGGCGCCAGCGACAAGGGAAAACACACTCGATGGCCACGTCTGGGATTCGCTGGGGATATTGAGATCGGATGCAAGCTGGGGGAGGATGATGTGAAAGCCACCGACGAGATATTCCTGCAAGATTGGGGTCAGCCAAAGAGCAACCGTAGTTGGGCACGTTGATCAGATAAACTTACCCCCATTAGCATGAGTCCAAGTAGTGAGGAGCAAAAGCCGACCTCTGATAGCCAGGACCCAAACACTGCCGGGCGCTGCCGGCCCAGAACTTCGACATCTATGTCCATAGGGGAAGGGGAGTCCTCGGCGTCCCTTGTTTCTGTTGTTCGACTTTCTTGCGGTGTCATGTTGTATTGCCGATGCCGTCCGTGAAGATTGAGACAGAGTGTGTCGGAAGACTATCTTTGTTTGAGGTGTATGGAAAACGCCCTGGTTGCTTTGTAAGGTAGAGAGTATGGTTAGATGGTAGCAGGTGCGCCTTCGACAACAGGATAAGTCCGGGGATTCGACCTACATATACCTAGACATATTTTCAGGAAAACCCCAGTCTGGTATGCTGATTCGAGTTAAAAACATCCCTCATCACGCGAGAAGGGGCAGGAACAAGTGGATCGCCATTTCGCGGACAGTGACTGGTCGTGCTGTGTGCAACATGTTCAGGAAGGGAAAGATCATGACAATTGCGCCGCATTTTGTCATCAAAAGTCCATGTTTGGCGCAATGATTATCCATTTGCGGTTAGTCGGAAAAGGAGTCCAAAAGTAAAGCTCCATGTAAGCAACTGAATATCCTCATAAATGCGGTCCTGAGAGTCGTTGCCTTTTTCAACCTAGGACCGGGGCTCAGGGGCAACCCGCTGTGTTTGAATCAAAAACATGCTCACAGATCGTCTTGGTGCTCGTGCAACAGAAAAGCTGCTTCAGCGCTAAACCCTTTAAGGGTCGTCGGTGCGCTGCATTCTTCCCGTCCCCACGTCATTCCCATTTCGTCCATCAAGTGCGCCGCCATTCAACTCAGTCTCTCAGTTGAGAACATTTGCGCGCCCAGCCCCTGACCTCAACACACAAATGCCGACTATGAGACGCGAAGTGCCCGAGGCGGAAAATGCGGCCAATAACGCGTTCGAGAAACGGCTGCGCAACTTGCAAGAGGCGAAAACGGAAGTGTGATGAAGCCCGCCCCGAGTGCGGCCCCTGCATCCGACGTGGTCTTGAGTGTGAAGGGTACACGAAACCCCTTCGGTGGGTGAACGATACCACCAACATTCATTCCGTGAATGGACCAGAGACCTCGCGGCCTACGGATCGGGGGTTGGATACTAGCAATGTCAACACCCCTCCTTCGTCATCCTACCGCGTTCTCAACGACCAACCACAGAGTCGTAGGTTGGACGACGACTATCCGCTTCCGCCACGTCCAGATGAGGGTGGCCTTGACGGGCTGGACAACTTGTTCGAAACCTGTACGTTTTCAACCTTTTTAAAGCCTCTCAAAACGTCGGTGTCGCAGGCTCGCAGCCTAACGATCGCTCAGTTTTGAAATCTGGCCTTGGCAAGCTCTACAACGCGGAGACTCAGTCTTGGATCAGGCCTATTTTCGAGGACATGGCATCTCAAAGCAAGGCCCTCAGAATCATAGGCATCGCTATCCAGAGCTATGTAGACGATGGATGCGACGACCTGTCTGTTTCTTCCATGGAGCGTCTTGACCTTGCCCTCCGAACATTCCGCGCCGAGCTTGCTAGCCAACACGACGACATCAGGTCATCAACTGCCTTTGCCGGGTTAATGGTTTGCTCTTTATGTGTAAGTGAAAGCATTCCACACAGGTAAACTGACTTCGAAATTATAATGCTGACGAGCGTAGCTTCTGTTAGCGCGTCCTTTTACGATGTATGTCCAACTTATGGCAAACTTATACAACTTGGACGCCAAAATGCACTTGTTAGAGCCAGGCCCCGGGCGCGACCTTCCGACGCTCCATATGCTGGAGTCTATGTGCGTGATGGACTTGCCTTTGTATGTGGTCGGCCGAGTAAGCCCCTCAATCGGGCTTTGGAAGCGGTTCAGAAAGACTCAAGACAGTTGGCCCGGGGGTAGGATTGGCGGAGTCGAGGTCGGTATAGGAATGCCCCGATCTCTTATTGACGTACTGGCCGACATACCGGATGGCCCTCAAGCAAGTGTCGAGTCCAGACTATGGATATGGCCAGGGGAAATTGGGGAGTTCATACAGTGTCACTTGTGGGACTGTTGGCGGTTCGCGGGCATTCTCGAAATTCGCAGAAGAAAGAGACTCCAAGACGGACAAGCTCAGGAGAAAACCCAGTTCGCGCCAAATACAGGCGTGATCATGTGCCGGCTGATTTCTGCGATGGACGCTATCCACAAGCATATCCGTTTTGACCTTGACCGCGAAAAGTACTCGCTGATACAGAACGGGATGGTGTTTCCTGTTACAGCGGCCAGCTTAGAGTTTCGAGAGCTGGGCGGCCATCCTGAATGGAAAACCACACTGGAAAGTTTCCGTGAACATTTGTCCAAAAGAGACCCGTTCAACTTTCTGAAGGTCATATTTGAGCTGCTCGACGAGGCACACGCTTCAGGGATAGAGGTCTTCGACATAAACGAAGCAGCACGAGGAAGAGGAGTCGAAGTTGTCTTGTTTTAGAAATGTTGTTGGCCAAACTGTCAGACATGTTAAAGTTGCGAACGAATCGATGCTTATGAACAAGCTTGACTTTAGGAAGAGATCGCATACCTTTGATCACAGTGCGGTGCGTAAAAGTTGTTGCGTCGGTAATTCCACGTCAGTAAACCATCTCAGGGGGATTATTCCCCAACCTCACCGCCAGGCTGAACAATACCTTATGTGCTTCCACAAAAGTTTCTTCTGCTTCTTGAATCGTCAGCAGGTCTTCGGGGCAGCAAATTGCGTTGCATGATGGATACATGTCCCATGCAAGACATCTTCACTTGAAATAGAAAGGTCCTGAATGAGGTCCAACATTATCCATACAAACTCCTGGCTCGGAGTCAAAGTATCTTCCGAAGGCTTCTTGTCAGCATGTTTCCGAGGAACCTCGTAAGTTGCTGATGTGACCATGACCTCCGAGGTCGTCATGAACGCGTTTCTGTCGCCTGTGTGAGCCAGTCAAACTGCGATATAAGTACACGCCGAGTGTGATGATGCCTGGGCTACTTTTCAACGTCGTCCACTCACATCCTCGTGCTGAACACCAGCTGCGACGAACCAATGAAGCTCTTAAGGTCCGTGCTACGAAAACGCTTGAGCACGCCTACTATTGCGATATCTTAGGGGATCAAGAAAGTAAATCAACAAACTGCTCGTCAAGATCAGGTGCGAAGTCATCATTGTTGCGTTGAAAAGGTGGTAGCATTGAACACTAGAAAAATGAGTGACCCATCGAGCCCCGGTTGAGTGGATGTGTATGGAGCTCTGCTCTCCGACACAAACGGGATGAGGCCTCCTCACCAAAATAAGAGTACCGGAAGATCAAGCGAGACAAGGACTCCAAGTGATCAACAACAGGGGCCATATTGGTAGCGACCGAGCGTTAGTCCAAAGCGTTGGTTTTGGTTCTGACGCGAGATGTGGAAATAAAACTTGCCATCCAGAAAACCTGGCAGAATCCAGCGGTTGGGGTTGACGATGATGCTTCCAAGTAACAATTCGTGACAGCAATTCGTCGGCTCGGCGTCGGCCGAAGGAGCTTGCGCCGGTAGCTTCGTCGAAGACCTAAATGACAGCACTAATTGCCGACATATTTACAGGGGCCGTAAGCCCCGGAAAGTACAGCATCCGGATGCAAAGCAACGCCGACCGACAGCACAGGTCAAGAGTTGCATTTTGCTCTGCGCAAAGCAACGGTGTCAAGTTTGCTATGTGGCTGGATTTGACGCGTCGAGGGGGCCAACATAGGCTTGGCTTGTGGGAGATAGCATGATCAGCAAGAGAGGGGCTCGCGGCTCGACATGACCGGTCTCGTGCTGGCAGCGGAAACGACATTTCGGTTCGACAGTCAGACTGTTGGACATCTTGGCTCGGCTGTGTATGTAAGAGATGGTCGCTTCCTGCGCAGAACCACGCCGTCGTTCTTGCGCGAGCGAAACATAGCGTCATTATATGGAAACTGAAATCGAAGAAAGGACGGCAAGAGGAAACGAGCTTCTGTGGCCAAGAAACAAATGCTACGAGGTTTCGCGTTCTGCTACAAGCCCCAGTCAAAGCGCTGCGTCAGTACCGTACCGTACCATACCATACCGCGCGGGAGGAGTCCAACAGGAGTTCATCAAGGCCGATGGCGGCGATGGGAGGCGGGAAACACGGTGAGCCGGGTGGAGATACCCCGCTTGAGGTGATTGCGAGTAGGATTTCGCGAATCAAGGGCGACAGGGAAAGATCAAGCGAGGTCGTATCAACCGCACACGTGCGCCGTCTGACCTTCCATTTGAAGCTCCTGATGCGCCGCCAACACCGCAGAAGAATGACTTTCTCACTGCGTCTGTCAAATAGAATTCCAGACCCCTCTTTCGCCTGACTCTTGGCCTGTCGCCGGCGCCAGGCCAGGAGCAAAAAACCTCGCTCATCTGAACCGAGTTTGTCAGTGTTGTCAGAACGGCTAAACCTTCCCCCTATCCGCATGCTCGTCTGATCTTGCCATCATCTCGCTTAATCTTTGCTAGAAAATCCCTCGTCTGCGCCAAACTGTGCTCACAAATTTTGCTAATCTCCGGCTCATCTTGCTTTTCTCTCTCGCGTCCACCTTCCCCTCCCTTAAAGTTCTTGGCATCTTCCACATCCCGCTGCTTATGATCATCATTCTGAGCTCCTTGGAATCCTCTCTTAAACTGCCAAGACTGCATCATGTGCTGTCCGTTGGTCCTGAGGCTGACCTAGACTGCCACCGGCGGGCCTTCACTCCACACACACCGCAAAATGCCTGCTTGTTTAAGCTTGTCGAGAGCTCCTCGGGCCCCATCCCTGGATACCCGAGCTTATCAGATCGCATCAGAGGCTATCATTTCGTCAATATAATGTCCGTTGAATTGTGGCAGTGCTGAGCCAACCGGGACCTTTGACCTTTTGCTTTTGCCGCTCTACTGGAGAAGTGGAGAGCTATGTCTCTTCCGGTTGACAAGATGGTGTTGTATGGCCAGTCTGGAAGAAGCTGCAGGAGGGAGCCCGGAGAAAGCTGCCCTCTCTGCAGACACGCAGAAATATTCATATTGCTTGGCCGCCGCTTCTTCGGCACGCCTTGCTCCAGCTCGACAACACTTTCTCATTTCTACCAGCCCATACATGACTCCAGTAGCCCATGATGGCTGACAACTTTCTCAGCCCCAATCCAAACCCCACACATCCGGACTCCCGTCCGCGGGCCGTCAGCGATGCCGACACCATCACCCCCGACGGGACCAATCCTTTCTTGACACCGTCCGGCACAACTGCTGCCCCCAGTGCCGCCCCAAGCTTCGTTCTTGAGGATCCAGACTCGGCTCTTCACCCAGACCCTGGAACAGAGCACGACTTTCGCGTCGACAACAATCCCTTCGCGTTTTCCCCCGGCCAGCTGAACAAGCTCTTCAATCCCAAGTCTCTATCGGCATTCCGAGCTCTTGGCGGTCTCCAGGGAATCGCGCGGGGCATCCAGACCGATGTACGCAGCGGACTCAGTGTTGACGAGACCGGCGTCAAGTCCACAGTCTCGTTCAGCGACGCCGTCGACTTTGATTCCAAACCTGCGACGCCAACAGAGAGGCACGCGACCACATCTTCAACACCATTCGCCGATCGCACGCGCATTTACGGTCGCAATGTCCTCCCACCGAAGAAGGGCAAGTCTATCTGGAGGCTCATGTACATTGAGCTCAGCGAAAAGGTCATCATTCTCTTGACCGTCGCTGGTATCATCTCTTTGGCACTGGGTTTGTACGAGACTTTGGGTGTCGAAAGGCCGGCAGGCTCGCCGGCATCGGTCGACTGGTATGTCCTTTCCACTCGATTACATCACTCCAGGCTGACAGTCACCCAGGGTAGAGGGCGTGGCCATTTGCGCCGCAGTCATCATCGTCGTCGTCGTCGGTTCCCACAACAATTGGCAGAAAGAACAGGCATTCGTGCGATTGAACACCAAAAAGGATGATCGTCAGGTCAAAGTCATTCGGTCAGGCCGATCTCTCATGATCAATGTGAATGAGATTCTCGTCGGAGAAGTTCTTCATCTTGAGCCGGGAGACATGGTGCCTGCCGATGGTATTCTGATCGAAGGCCAGGACTTGAAGTGCGATGAATCTTCGGCTACTGGCGAATCCGACGTCCTCAAGAAGACCGCCGGTGACCAGGTCATGAAGCTTCTCGACACAAAGCACGACAACCTCGACGACCTCGACCCATTCATCATTTCTGGCTCGAAGGTGCTTGAGGGTAAGTTTCTTCGGACCAGTGGATGTGGAAATGTGCTGATTGGCTCTAGGTATGGGCACGTATGTTTGCACTTCTGTCGGAGTGCACAGCAGCTTCGGCAAGATCATGATGTCTGTTCGCTACGATGTCGAAGCCACTCCCCTGCAGAAGAAGCTGGAAGGTCTTGCGGTTGCCATCGCTAAGTTCGGTGGAGGCGCATCCGCCTTGATGTTCTTCATTCTTCTTTTCCGATTCCTCGCGACTTTGCCAGAGGATCACCGATCGCCAGCAGACAAGGCGTCTACTTTCATGGATCTGCTTGTCGTCGCAATTGCGATCATCGCAGTCGCAGTGCCCGAAGGATTGCCACTGGCCGTCACCCTCGCCTTGGCTTTTGCGACCACCAAGCTCCTGAAAGAGAACAACCTCGTCCGAGTGCTCCGCGCCTGTGAGACCATGGGCAACGCAACAACCATTTGCTCAGACAAGACGGGAACGCTGGTGAGATCCGCAACAAGATCAAATGCAAGGCGCACACTTACTGACTTGGTCACAGACAACGAACAAGATGACAGTGGTAGCCGGAACGTTCTCGACGACAAGCTTCACAGCTCTGGCGCAATCCGACCGCAAAAAGTCTACCGATGGCACCGTCCCTGTTTCTACATGGGCCTCATCTGCACCCACGGCAACCAAAGAGCTGATTGTGCAGTCAGTTGCGGTCAACTCGACTGCCTTCGAAGGCCAAGAAGATGGCCAGGCTACTTTCATTGGATCCAAGACTGAAACAGCTCTGTTGTCTCTGGCCAAGGACCATCTGGGCCTGCAATCGCTGGCAGAGGCTCGCGCCAACGAACATGTTGTGCAAATGTTGCCTTTCGACTCGCGGAGAAAATGCATGGCTGCTGTGATCAAGCTTCGCGACCCCAACAAAGGCTACCGTCTTCTGGTCAAGGGAGCTTCGGAAATCCTGCTCGGGTACTGCTCGTCTCAGGCTAACTTGGAAACCTTGGACGAGGAGCCCCTGGATTCGACTCAACGACAAGCCCTACAGAACACCATCAACCAGTATGCCAGTCGATCATTGAGGACGATTGGCCTTGTCTACAAGGATTACCCACAATGGCCACCTGCCGGAATGCCTTCGGAGGACGGCCATGTCAAGATGGACTCTCTGCTGTCTCTTTCCGACCTTACCTTTCTCGGAATTGTTGGTATTCAGGACCCCGTTCGACCGGGCGTGCCTGATGCAGTCCGCAAGGCCCAACATGCCGGTGTCACTGTTCGTATGGTCACGGGCGATAACGTCATTACGGCACAGGCTATTGCAACGGAGTGTGGCATTTACACGGGCGGCGACGGCGTGATCATGGAAGGACCTGTTTTCCGCAAGCTGTCTGAGGGTGACATGAACGCTATTCTCCCAAAGCTTCAGGTCTTGGCTCGTTCATCCCCGGAGGACAAACGAATTCTCGTCACCAGATTGAAGGCCCTGGGAGAGACGGTAGCGGTGACTGGAGACGGCACGAATGACGCCCCAGCTCTGAAGGCTGCTGATGTCGGATTTTCTATGGGTATTTCCGGAACCGAGGTCGCTAAGGAGGCGTCGGCTATTGTTCTGATGGATGACAACTTCACTTCCATTGTGACAGCTCTCAAATGGGGCCGTGCAGTCAACGACGCTGTGCAGAAGTTTCTCCAGGTAAGCAATCTTGCTTCAGTTGTTGTCCGAGGACACATGACTCGTCCAGATTGACTAAATCTTCACTGCTGCACAGTTTCAAATCACTGTCAACATCACAGCAGTTATGCTTGCCTTCATCACAGCCATGTACGACGACCATATGGAGCCTGTACTTAAAGCCGTCCAGCTGCTTTGGGTCAATTTGATCATGGATACCTTCGCTGCCCTCGCGCTTGCAACCGATCCTCCGACCGAGAAGATTCTTGATCGGCCTCCTCAACCCAAGAGTGCTCCTCTGATCACCATTAACGTGAGTTGACCCAGGACTGGCAGATGATCTTGTACTGACAACCATGGCTGCAGATGTGGAAGATGATTATCGGCCAAGCAATTTTCCAGCTCGTCATCACTATCACGCTGTACTTTGCTGGTCCAGAGATTCTCAACTACGATCGTAACAGTGAAGACGAGATGCTGCAACTCGATACGATCATTTTCAACACTTTCGTTTGGATGCAAATTTTCAACGAATTCAACAACCGTCGCCTGGATAACAAGTTCAACGTCCTAGAAGGTGTTCATCGTAACCAATTCTTCATCTTCATCAATCTTCTGATGGTTGGTCTGCAAGTTGGCATCGTCTTCGTCGGTGGCCGTGTGTTCGAGATCAAGGAGGGAGGTCTCAATGGAAGCCAGTGGGCTATTTGCCTTGTTGTCGCCTTCATGTCCATGCCTTGGGGAGTTGTCGTACGCATTTTCCCCGACATTTGGTTCGAGAAGGCGGCCAAGTTCGTCGGCAGGCCCTTCGTCATCGTCTACAGAATCCTCGGAAAGGGCTTCTCAGCGATCGGAAGGCTCTTCAGGCGCAGGCCTAAGGCGAAGGATACCGAAAGCACCGACATACCTGCAACTGTGGTGATCGCTCCACCCGAGGAGAAAGGCCAGGAGAGGGGATAAAGAGAGGAAGACAAAGTGTTTAGGCAAGGAGCATGTTTGCTCATGATTGCATGTTTCCGGCACAAGTATGCGAGGGGTTGTTCTGCTTTCAGACTGCATCGCGGCGTGACCGATGAGGTTGCGATTCTAACGTCAATCGAAATTATGATCCGGGAATGGCTTACAAAAAAGGGGTGTGTACACTATGGAATACCATCTGTCGTTACTTAGTTCAACCAGTAAGAATTATATAATATTATGGCAGTCTATGTCTTATAATGTTCCTTGTGGCCCTGTTCTTCAGAGCTGCTGTCAAAACAGCTCAGCATTCTGTCATACAACCTCCATTACCAGCTTTTAGTGATAGTCGTAGCATGCTCCCCAGGATCTCGGCCAGGTATCGCTGGCGGTACTCAAAGTGCTTTGGGCCCTTTTGTTTGATCGTTTCGTTTGCAATTTCGATCATGGTTGGATATATCTCTTTTGGCATTTCCAACAGACGCTTTGCGTCTATCGTGACATCTGTCGATTCTTGGCCGACCAGAACAGGCGCGATAACAGCACTTTTCATGAGAGACAGGCAGAAATGTTCCAGAAGATCATTGGCGACGAGGTACTTCGTGACAGCCTCTAGAGATGTTGCGTCGGCCACCACCTCCCGAAGTGGCCGAGACTGGCCTCGAATTTCTCGCCAGGTTATCTCTGCAACCTCGAGCTCGCGAGTAATTGCATCTTCGGTCAGATGCAATGAGTCGCCGGCGGGTGGTCTGTCATAGGCCACATTGCGACGAAGCCACGAGTTGTAAAACATCGATGATAGAATCACTGGGATGAGTACGACGTAGCCTTCCCATCTTGTTGCCGTGACCATGGATGCACCACCACCAATTATGCTACTCACAGCACTGACCAAAGTGTAGATGTGAACATTGTGCATCCGTCGTTCGATAACCTTTACGGCTCGACTACTCTGGAGGCGAGGCGACTGGGCCGCGAGTCTTCGGTGCTGGGAAGCTCTGCGGAAGATGTAGGCCGACCATCCAGAGCTAATCAGGCCATAGAGAGCAATTGGGGCATTGCCGAGGTAGCCTGACAAAATGTTGCTTGCAAACCACGCTTGGCGATTCGCCCCTCCAATCGCCATGTATGTGCCGATACTAATGAGAAACGCGCCGAACCCACTGCATATGTCTAGCCCGAAGCGATTCGCGATTTCGCTTCCAAGTTCTCGAAAATTCGTGTCAAGAAGGACGTCGACGTCCAGCGTCGGCTGACTTCGTTGGAGACGCTCTAGCCTTTCTGCTTTCAAAGCGGCTCTCTCATTACGGAGGAAGCATACGTTCCGCCAACTCAAAAGAGTGTCTTTGAGGGCCAAAATTGACACGACCAACGCCAGCGTGCCGCCCAGGGCCATGAAGATGATGGCATATATAGGCACAGGAATTTCATTCCAGACGTTTGCGGCGAAGTCTCCGGCATTGGCGAGCTCGAGAAGACCCATAGTGCTGAGTAGAGTATTGCGCAAACGTGAAGATATTCGAGGAATCCATCGCCGGCGGTGTTTCGTCAAATCTGCTTGTGTCGGTGCATAGATAGGGGAAATCGGTACAGGCAGTGTCGTATCGGTTGCGGCCTCGGATTGCTTCTCGGTTCCTCTGGATGCATCTGCCCTCACTGGCTCTTGGTCTTCCAGTCTCGTCGTAACACTTGAGTCGCCGAGTGAGGCGATATCGGGGGTTGCTGATTCCATCGTGTCCAATTAACTCAAATAGTTGAGCGGGTACGTAGAACAGAATGAACGGAAGTGCTCCTTACAAGACCCGCAGCAGATACCTATGTAAGAGGGAGAAACAATAAGTTTCAATTGAAGAAACGAAGGACGGAGTAAACGAACTGGCTTGTGGAGGTGGGAAAGGGACTAGAGTGGGTGTCGTGACGGCTCACATCTCGGATGTCAGGCGACAGGAAGAACAATCAAAAACCCCGTGAACCTCCGGACGGTGGCCACGGGGGAGCTGACATCAAATACTTGGTCAGGCCCAGGCGCTCGGCCCGAAATAATGGGCCTCCTAGTGCCACGCAACTCAAACGACGATCGGAGTTCCAGGACCGGCAAGGTGCAAGCCATCACGGTTATCGGCACGGGAGGCAATATTGTGATCACCCTAAAAATAGGCGCCATAGGGCTGGATCGGTCCACCCCAAGCCCACATTCAAATCCGTCAAGACCGAAACTCGGGACTCCGGGGTAAGGACTGAGCCAATTGCAAAAAAAAAAATGTTTCACCCTAAAAGATGTAGGGGGTCACGGAATCCGCGGGGAAACTTGAGCTCCTTCAAAGCGCGCCCCTTCGCGAGGAGCCCAGACATGCAAGACATGCCGACTGGTTCATGCTTCGAATGAAAAGGATTTTCTTATCGAGCCTCAAACGTGTCGGCTTTCAACTCCTATCGATGAACTGGCATGTTAATTTCGGTGCCAGTTTTGAGGTCGGTGATGATACCGGCGGTATCGAAGATTCAAAGTTTAGCAAAGGTGATTTCGGCGATATTCATAACACACCGTCACCGAATTCAAGGGGGAAAAGCATTGTATTCAACGCTTGCAATCAAATTTTGGCTTACAGCTGCTTCATACGCTCTGCAATTTATGCCGCCTGTGGAGAGCGTTGGTAGGTTTACTTGCCCGCAACGCTTAGCTCACAGAGTGTACCGAAACTCCTTGTTCAAGCGGTCCGTCATATCACTGAACTCCACGTCCTTGAGATGGCCAAGTTGTCCGGCCCGCACGAGATTGTCGCGACGCTTGTTTTCCCAAACATAGTAAAAGCGCAGCATCAGAGTGAAGACCATTGCCAGCCCGCAAGTCACTATGATAGCGGTCTTGGCGGGGATGTATTCCGGTGCAGACTCGGCGGTAAAGGTCAATGGCCCGATAATGTTGCCTACGCAGAAGCAAATCAGAAGAGTGGCATTCATCGTGACCTATATCACAGAATCAGCGTTTCTGCATGCCGCTTGCAAATATGAGAGGGCTGACCTTTTTCGTATGACCGGCATAGTTCGCGCCGACGAGCGAATACAACAATGGCAAGGTCGCGCCAATGCAATTCGTCATGTAGTTGCCAATCAATTTCCCGGCTTTATTGTCGGCAGGCAAGAACGCCATGAGAGCTGCTCCAATGACACCAGGGATCAACAGGCAAATGATGTTCAGAGCACGTTGGTTGTATCGCCCCGCGACGTTGGTTGCAGCCAAGATTGAGACGATGCTCACGGCGCCGGACGGGATGGATAGAAGTGCAGTTTCTTTAGACGTGTATCCGAAACCTTTGATGATAGTTGCTTGAAATGAAGATACAGCCCCGTTGGGCACGTTTGACGTGATCGTGATCATTGCAAGCAGGTATGTCTGAGGATCAGCAAAACATTCGATGAATTGCGGCCACTTGAACTGCTTGTTTTCGACACCCGTCTGGTTGGCTCTTAGGCGCTCGATAGCCCATACCTTTTCCTCGGGAGATAGAAATTTGGCGTTCATCGGATTGTCTGGGAGCACAACAATGACAGTGATACCCACGGCAACAGTGACCAGACCGCATATCAGAAACATGATCTGCCAAGAGGTGAAGCTAGATCCATCGTAGTGTTGGAAGCCGAACGAGATGAGAGAACCGACTATGACGCCGCCGCCGGTGCCAAGGTACCAGATTCCCATGCGAGGAGGTTGTTCCTGGCGTTTGTACCACTGGAATGATGAGCAAGCCATCGTAATATGTGCAAAGAAGAGCTTACCATGGTTGTGATGACGATCAATGAAGGTGCAACTGCACTCTCGAAAACGCCGAGAAGAACTCTTGTAACGACAAGTCCGGCCCAGTTGTGGCAAGCCGATGTAACTGCCAGCACTGTTCCCCATAGGCAGACCATAATACCAATGTACTTTGCCGTTGGGTAGTGCTGCATTCCCCAAGCGTGAGGGAATTCGAAAGCAAGGTAGCTAACATAGAAGATCATGGCGAGTTGCGAATATTGATCGCCAGAAATGCCAGTATCCTTCTGGAGCCCCATGACGTTGGCGTAATTGATCAAGGTTTTGTCGAGATACTGGAGAATGTAGCATGCAAACATGAGCGGCACGATTCGCCAGTCAATCTTGCGTTTGAGTCTCCGCTCATCTTCATCAGTCATGAGGTTGACGTCGCCGCATTGTCGCAGAAACTCGAGAGCTGCATCAGCGTTTGACACGTCTTTGACCTCGCCCACAATTGTCTCCGGCTGAGCTTCGCGTGAGCTCGCTGACTTTTCGATGTCGAGCTTTTCCTTCGTATCCATCCTGAATATTTACCGGAAAAAGTATGTAGTCCTTGCAACACAGCAAACTGGTGAAGACATGATATTGATTCAAGCTTAAATGTCCGTCTTGAACTAGACGGAATATTATAATGCAACCCCGCGTTGATAACAGTTGCTCCATGACGTTCTTGATTCTCAAGATTGGCGCTGGCCGTGTGCATCTGCAGAAGACCCCCATAGATAAGTTCAGCGATCGCCAAGGACATTTGGTCCGGACCAATGGGAAGGCTAGGCACTGTTGACCATACTGCTGCAGGAAGGTGACCGGGGCCGGGGTCGGCATTTGTTATCTACAACTGCGGAAAAGAATAACCCGAAGATATCGGCTATCAGAAAACACTCTGATGTGTCGATGCTACCTCCTCTCTTCCTGATAAGAGTGTTTTCTTTGGGCGTCGGCATTCGTTCGGCGATCGGAAAGCCATCAAAACCAATCATGTAATTCCACAGATATGGAGTGGGAAAAGGATATATCAGTAACATAGAGAGTAGCATATTATATTATTTGTTCACGATCTCCCATCTATCTATGATGAGTCGTATTTGAGGTAATCGCCAGATCCGGTGTCGTGCGTGATGTTTGTTTGCACAACCCGGCCGTTCTTCAAGCTGCCGCTTTCGGCGATACCACCAACAGCAGCAGTGCCATTTTGTCGGTGCAACTT